TCAATTAAGAATTAAAAATTTAAGAATACAATCAATACAGAATAAATGATATGATTTGAAATATTACTGAATTTATAAATTCCGAGGGAGATTGACTTGTATGTGTTGGTAATTGATATTCATTTCATGTGACATTGAATAAGAATGAAGTTTCATGTTATAAATTTTGGGTGGTTGAAAATTTAAGAGTAATTTAGAGTTATTGTATTTCATTAAAGTATTTTAAAAAAATTTATTTAGTTTAGGTTACAATTACATAATAATTAATTATGGTCATTAAGTATGAATGTTACAACTGTCTTTAATAGTCTCATTTTGAGACTATATAAAGTCACTTATGTTGTATTTTTAAGCAGACTTAGAAAATATAGTAAAAGAAGCATTTGTGTTTTTTAGCCAATGACTAAGTTTCTTTACAAATCTAAGTAGTTTAGGTTGCATGTAGAATCATTTAAGCTCGACATGATCAATCTTGCTTGTGGAGTGATTCGAATCTCAATCAAGTGTTCTTGCGTTGAGATATCTGATCAACAAGAATCATTTAAGCTAGACATGATCGATCTTACTTGTGGAGTGATTCGAATCTCAAACAATGTTCTTGCCTTGAGATATTCGATAAACAAGCTAATCCGAATCTTACTCTTCTTGTAGTGATTTCCACATATCAAATGTTCTTATGGCTATCAATGTTCGTTCTAGTTTACTGATAGGTATGGTCATTTTAGACCTCGCACTCATTTCCATTCCAAACCCGTAAATGATTCAAAACGGTATTATTATGCAGGCCTTATTAAAGTTGGTGGCTGATCGTTCGGTAGTAGCCTTGAATACAAGCAAAAAAAGATGCAGCAAATGAGTCTCCTCTCAAGTCGGTGACGTTCTATATTACAATTTATTAAAAAATATATAAATTAAAATTAGACATTTACGTTGAAATGATAATTTAACCTAAAATATGAACAACTAAAAATAATAAGTACTCCTCTGCTCCAGGAAGTGAATCGTGTAATATGCGACCATTTCGTGGCACTTGAGTCAACCACTAACGTCGACAACATCATAATATTTTATTTTTTATTTTATTATTTTAATTTGAGAATAAAACCTCTCTATATATTATACTATATATGAAATTTCTTCCTAATTTAAATTTTATATTTATACACTTTCATAATTTTCAGTATTTTTTTAATCTTAAAACAATAATAAAATTATATATATATATAAAAGTCGTGACAGCCGGCTTGGTTCCTCCTTTTCAAAATTTAAAATTTACGCTCCCAACGGTCATATGTTTTAGGGTTTACACAACGGCTCGTTTCTCGCTAATCGTCTATTTAAAGGGCCTCCACTGCTCAACTTCATTAATTCGCCTCAGTCGGTGTGGCTGTGAGAAAATTTTCAATTTGTGCGAGATTTTTTTCTTCCTATCGCCATGGATTTCCATAGCTTGTCAAGGAGAGAACTCCAAACACTCTGCAAGAGGAATAAGATACCAGCCAATATCACTAATGTTGCCATGGCCGACGCTCTCTCTGCTCTTCCATTGGTGAGTTATCTTTTTGCTTTTTACTGGTTCTGTAGTTTGATTTGATATGGTTATTGAAGGATCTGAGATTTTGATGAACTTGATTTCACTTCTATCTGATTTCTTTCTTCAAAGTAACTAGCAGTTTTTCTAGGTATTTTGTTAGTTAATTTAGACACTTTTTCATTCGCTATTGGATTAGGTTGAAGGAATCGATGAGTTTTTGAGCAGTGAAGGATCTGGAGTACCTGAATCGCCAATGAAAGGAGAGGTTGTTTCCTCCGAAATTCCTCGAACTGAATTGAGAACCTCGACAAGAAGAAAAACCGTCAAAGATGATCCTATTACTACTCGAACACGCCGTGCAGCTGCGGCAAGAGGAACAGAGGAGTCAGAAAATAGAGATCTAAATGTGACTCTGACTACTCCGTCTTTGCGGAGTAGCCGGAGAATAACGGCGGGGGCTTCTTCAGCTTGCAAGAAAGTAGATTTTCAGATGACGGTTGATGAGGAAGAGGATAACGATTTGGATCATGAAAAGCCTGTGATTGAAAATACGCCTGCTGTGCCTAAAAGCCAGAAGAGAGTTGCGGGGGCCTCGACTAGTAAACGAACTCAGACTCGGAACAATGGAGCTATGGAGCCACGAGTTTACAGTACAAGAAGATCCGTCAGATTGTTGGAGCAGACCATGGAGAGCTTGAGTTTAGCGGAAGACAAGAAAATGGAGCCAAATACTGTCCATATGTCGTTCGATGAAATGCCTAACAGTTCAGGTTTGCATTTTGAGAATGGCTTATTCTTTTTTGTATGCATATTGATTTGTATAATCGCGAAATTTGATGATTGATAGCAATTGGTGCAGGACCCGTGAAGGAGGAAACGAAATTGGAAGTTGAGTCAAAGAACACTGATAAATCAGAAAGCAAATTAGATGAAGATTTGGGGTTAAAAACCAATGAACAAGAGAAGAATGAGATGGAGGAACCAGAAATGGACCCTGATGATTCGATGAAACGTTCTGCAGATTCAGTGGAGATTTCTGCGGAGGAAATCAACGATTTTGACAAACTTTCTCTGCATTCTGAAGACGTGGACTTGACTGAAGTTCACCACTCGAGCATCGAAGAAGAATCCGGAATGGAAGTCCAATCTAAACAAAACGAGTCTATTTTTGAATTAGAACATATGAATATTTCTGCCGAAGAATCGTCTCTGCCCATTGAAAATGTGGAAGAGGAAACCCAAGTTGATGAGGTCTTGAGCAGCGTAGAAAAATCTATCATGGAAGTTATAGATGATGAAGATGAATTAGAACCCACAATTGAAGAAGAATCTGTCATGGAGTTCCCTGAGAATGTTTCTGAAGATTTGGTTGATGTAAAGATCCAATATCAAATGGAAAAATCTCCTCCTACTGACACAAATGTCGACACTACCGATTCACATCCCGACATACCCAATGACATTCTTCAATGTGAGGAAGCTTTGATCGAAGTGTCAGTTTCCTCCAACAACAATGGAATTCAATCATTACCCTCTTTAGCAGCTAGCCAGTTGGCATTGGCAAACCAATTTCCCAGGCCATCTGTTGTAGAAACCAAATCATCACATAAAGAACAAGCCACCAGGCTGCTAATGGACAACTCAGATGCTGAAGAAGAAGCCAATTGCACTCAGAAACAAACTGTGGAGAAAAACGACATGAGCCTGAGACAGCTGAGAAAGATGTTCAAAGAACAACTCCAACTTAGCAAAAAGAAGATGGACAACAATAATAATATCAACACAAAAGTAAGCATCATCTTGAATTTTGACTATGTTTCTAACATTCGTTGCTCTGGAGTTCTTAATGACAAATATATTATGTGTGTTCACAGGTTAGAACCGCTTTACAGCCACTGCCAGAAAACAGAATGGCCATGGATGGATTGGAGAAGCTATTTTAGAAGGCTTTTTATGGTGGTTGAGAGAGACAAACTGTGGTTTGCCTTGCCTCTGTTCTTGAATTTGTATTATTCCATGATGTTTTTTGAGGTAAACAATTAGTTTGTCTTGTTTTTTATGTTCATCATTTAATAATGAATGCCTATATATAATTAGTCAGTTTAGTTGATGGCATCTTAAAGGATTATGTAGACAAGGATTATGTATACAAGTAGCCATGGATGGGTTGGAGAAGCTATTTTAGAAGGCTTTAATGGTGGGTGGGTGAGAGAGACAAACTGTGGTTTGCCTGCCTGTGTTGTGTTCTTGAATTTGTATTTTCCCATGATGTTTTTTGAGATAAACAATTAGTAGTTCATGTTTTTTCTTCATCATTTGATAATGAATGGCTAAAATCTTTAATTCCTGTGTGATGTTTATCTTGCAAATGGGGCCATGTAAGAATGGGGTAAATGATTTTATTTTTCTTATAGATAATTTGTTAATTTTTTATGAAAAAATTTAAAAATACAAATTTTGGTATCAAATGCTTAGTTTTAATTATAAATATTGAAATTATATTCCTTATATGTGTATATTATTATTATTAATTAACCAGTTTTAATAAATAAATAATTTTCACTGACTAGACCAAAGGTAAAATAGTAATAAGTAAAGAGTTGTGACTGGATTAAAATAATATTTTAACACTTTTGATTTAGATACATAGAGAAATTCGTCCATCATAATTTTAGCAACTGCGTAAAAAAGTGTTATTTCAAGACTTAATTTGATATATTGTTTAATGACGTTAAATTATTGATATAATATTATTTACTTTTTAAATTTTGGAAGTTAAATTAATTATGACACAAGCTGATTAGGTTTGAGACATAAAAGAGAATACACAAAAACATGATGACCTTAAACTTATGACTCGTTTTTTTATCACATAACGAGGTTGCTTTATTATCATCAAAAGTAAGTTAAATGGATCTAGTGCAACCAAAGTGATATTTTACAAAAATGAGAACTTTGGGTAGTTTTAGTTGTGAGTTAAATGCAAGAACTTGTAGCACGAGACAACTTTTGAGCATTTTAAAGACTTCTACACGAGTCTTTCAAAAGTTAGTTCAATGAATTGTCTCTCGAGACTCAAAGTGTGTGATAAAGTGATTCTTTCGAGATCTTTATGGGTGAATTTCAAGAACTCATAGGAGGGCGAGACAATTTTTAAGTATTTTAAAAAGCTCTATGATTCTTTCAAAACTTAGTTAAATAAGTTATCTCTCGATACTTAATAGTGTGATAATGTCCATTTCAATCAGTTGTCTATGCTTCATAGAAATTGATATTAGTTTCTCGAGTGTTGCCAAGATCATCCATCAATATGACAAGGCGATTATTGTGATTGATACTCATCTTAGCGTGGGTGGGATTCAACATACCTCTTATTAAATACACATAATAACCTTCAAAACGAGAGCCAAAAAGTTGAAAATTGTGCAGTTAGTTAGTGGACAGCATCAGAAATAGGCGTGTGGCTGTGTCAAGTCCATCTCCACACCATATCATATTAATTATCACATCACCCACTGTTTCCACAGCCTTCCCCATCTCCACAAAAATGTCATCGGCCATAGTTGCAGGCTCATCCTCCTCATGCTCCGCCGCCTTCACCAGAACCACCACCACCGGAGCCCCCCTCTTTCCATCTTCAAAACCCTCTGTTTCGCCACTCCCTCAGGTATCCATTATTCACAAAACCCAAATCCCATTTCATTGCTGTGCCTTTCTATTGACTGTTTTTGTTGTTTTTGTTGTGGGTTCTTCAGAAAAGCGCTTTTCAAGGGCTGTCGGTGCAGGAAGCCAAGAAGGGTGTCTCGCATTGGTTCGTGGCTGAGAATGGAGAGGCCCACAGCCGCTCGAGGAGGGGGCTTCAGATTAGGGCGGCTAAAACTGCTGGCGCTTCCAAGACGGTTGAGGTCGAAGTTGATAAGCCCTTGGGTCTCACGTTGGGCCAGAAACCTGGCGGTGGTGTTGTCATCACTGTAAGTCTTCTTCAGTTTTGTTCTTGCTGTTACTTGTGCATTTTTGGACTTTGGATGAGCTGAGCTTAAGATGATTTTCTTGGAGTAGCTATGGCGAAAGTTTGTAAAAAAAAGGTGTTTAAAAGCACAACGTATAACGCCCCAAGCCTATCGCTATTGTCCACTTTGGCTCGTCGCGGATCGCCGTCAGCCTCACAGTTTTAAAACGCATCTGCTAAGAAGAAGTTTCCACACTCTTATAAGGAATGTTTCGTTCTCCTCTCCAACCAATGTGGGATCTCACAATCCACCTCCTTTGGAGGCTCAGCCTCCTCGCTGGCACACTGCCCGGTGGATTTGGGCGGTTACAAATAGTATCAGAGTCAAACATTGAGCGGTGTGCAAGTGAGGACGCTGGCCCCCAAGGAGGGTGGATTGTGAGATCCCATATCAGTTAGAGAGGAAAACGAAACATTTCTTATAAGGACGTGGAAACCTCTCCCTAGGAGACGCGTTTTAAAAACTTTGAGGGGAAGCTCCAAAGGGAAAGCCCAAAGAGAACAATATCTGCTAGTGGTGTGCTTGACTTGTTACTAATTATGAGTTAGAGTCTCTAAACTTTGAGGATTGTGTTTGTTTAGTCCTTAAACTTTCATAGTGCACTACAAGAAACAATAGATATGATAGCTTACGAAAAACGCTATCGTAAACTTTTTACTATAGTATTCTTTGTACGTCATGACAAACCCATTTATTAAAAGTCTAAGACTTTTTATAGCGTTTTTTAGAGCTATAATGGATGCTATAATAGAGTATGAAGTTATAGCTTATATACGTTTCTATTTAGCTCTTTTACTTTATCAGGATTATTTTTAATAGGTCCTCTGCATTATCAAGGGATCGGTCCTTCTATAATGCATAGTTTGCTTATCATTAAAGCGTTGATTAGATTAACAACGGAACTTACGATACATAAAATTGAATGTTTAGGGACTTAATAGAAGACTAAACGGACGTAGCTTAAGGGCTTAGGGTCCTACATTGGATTTTGTGTGCATATTATGTAACATATTATGTAACTGAGGTGATTTTTGGGGCTTTGTATTGGGTTAGGCAGTAGATGGAGGAGGGAATGCAGCAAAATCAGGGTTAAAAGTAGGGGACCAAGTTCTATACACCAGCAGCTTCTTTGGTGATGAATTATGGCCTGCAGATAAGTTGGGATTCACCAAAACTGCCATTCAAGCCAAGCCTGATTCTGTCTACTTTGTGGTTAACAGGTTCTTTTCCTCCTTTCACCTTCTCATTTAATGCATCCTTTTGAAAGTTCTTAGAATCAAAATGAGTTGTTACATATGGTATCAGAGCCAAACATTGAGCGGTGTGCCAGGGAGGCTGCTGGGCCCCTCAAGGGCGGTGGATTGTGAGATCCCACATCGGGTGGAGAGGGGAACGAAGCGTTCCTTATAAGGGTGTGAAAACCTCTCCTTAGTAGACGCATTTCAAAACATTGAGGGAAAGCCCAAAGGGGACAATATTTGCTAGCGGTGAGCTTGAGTTGTTACAAATGATATCAGAGCCAATCACTGGACGGTCTGCCAACGAGAATGCTGGTCCCTAAGGAGAGTGAATTGTGAGATCCCACATCAGAAGGGAAAACCCAAAGAGGACAATATCTGCTAGCGGTGAGCTTGAGTTGTTACAAATGGTATCAGAGCCAGTCACGGGACGGTGTGCCAGCGAGAATGCTGGTACCCCAAGGAGAATGAATTGTGAGATCCCACATCAGGTGGAGAGGGGAACGAAGCATTCCTGATAAGGGTGTGAAAACCTCCCCCTAGCAGACGCGTTTCAAAACATTGAGGGAAATCCTAGAAGGGAAAACCCAAAGAGGACAATATTTGATAGCAGTGAGCTTGAGTTGTTACAAATGGTACCAGAGCCAGACACCGGACGGTGTGCCAACGAGGACATTGGAACTTTCAAGAGAGGTGGATTGTGAGATCCCACATCTGGTAGAGAGGGGAACAAAACATTTCTTATACGGGTGTGGAAACCTCTCCTTAGTAGACGCGTTTTAAAGCCTTAAGGGAAAGTCCAAAGAGGACAATATCTGCTCACGGTGGGCTTAGGCTATTACAAGACGTGTATTTGAAAACCATAGTAAAGAACTTTGTGAGAAAACAAACAAAATTTTCGAGAATAGAAAGCGAGAAATGAAATCGTAACCAACAAGACGTAACTTGCGAAGTTTTTAAACAGAGGCGCTGATGTCGATGTCAAACGTCTCCCAAAGCGACCTGCGCCACCTCGCTTCGGAAGAAAACTTACAGAAGCACAAAAGGTAGTAAGCACATCCCTCACCCATCATCACAATGTTACCCTTCTTTAGGCCTGATGGCATTGCATTAAAATTTGTTGCACAGGCTAAAGCAACTCATATATGCTTGGATTGTGGATACATTTACACCTTATCAAAACCTTTTGAGGAGCAGGTACGTATATTCATCTCGTATTTCTCGATATCGACTCTCTAGACCATCATCGTTAAAATAAGAGCAGGTGCTCGGAGCGTAGTTCATAACGGGTAGTTGTTTTTGAATATGGTGGCAGCCTGAAGGATATGCATGCCCTCAATGTGTAGCACCAAAGAAGAGGTTTGCAAGGTATGATGTGAACACAGGGAAGGCAATAGGAGGGGGTCTGCCACCCATTGGAGTCATTGCTGGTTTGGTTGCTGGCGTTGCTGCTGTTGGAGCACTGCTTGTCTATGGCCTTCAGTGATCATAATATCCATTCCTTCTTCTCTATGTTTCTTCTTATTCTCATTTTGTCCTGCACATATCTTCATAATATCAAATTATATTTGATTAAACCAAGCTAGCGTTCTAATAATCGTTCATTAGAAATTTGAAAATTTGTATCTAAACAATCACTAAATACGAATTCAATATACTTTTGTAGTTTCGTTCTTACACATCTATCGATACAAAAATTCTAGTCACAGTAGAGACGTCTACGTGATGGGGAGGCGACGAAGAAGCCTTTTCTGTCTCCACTTTTGCGAAAATTTTCATTTATTTTTGCGAGATTGGGGTGGGAAGTACGTAGGAATTGGTTCCCTACCAGTCACTTTTGTCCGTCTATTATTTAAAAAAAAATAGTCATTTTAAAATTTTTATTTACTAAAATAATTTTTATTTAAAAAAATGGTAAAAGAAATCCTAATAAATCAATATCTCTCCCACCCAACTAACTAATATATATGTATATATATAGATTTATATTAAACTGGTTGGGACTGGGACTAAGAATATAATCCCTTCCCAGTCTCAAAAATGTTCACTACTCCCTCCCTCGTTTCTGGTATAAATCGGGAATTCCTTTGGGAGGTCCCTAGAATCTCGTCTCCGTAGATAAAATAGACATCTCTAAGTCACAATCTTTAATAACTCTCCGCTTGAAAAATATAAATTTTTATGGGGCGAGTAAAATTTCTAATACGTAGCTAATGTAACGGCTCAGATCCCCCGCTAATAGATATTGTCATTTTTTGGCTTTCCGTTCTGGATTAGGGGAAGGTTTCCACACGATGATTTGTTCTCCTCCCCAACCAATGTGGGACATCACAATCCACCCCCTTCGGGACCCAGCGTCCTCGCTGCCTAATTTGTTCTTCTCCCAACCAATGTGGGACATCACAATCCACCCCCTTCGGAACCCAGCGTCCTCACTGCCTAAGTTGTTCTCTTCCCAACCAATGTGGGACATCACAATCCACCCCCTTCGAGACCTAGCGTTCTTGCTGGCACTCGTTCCTTTATCCAATCGATGTGAGACCGCCCCTAAATCCACCCCCTTTAGGGCCCAGCGTCCTTACTGGCACACCGCCTCGTTCTACCCCCTTCGGGAAACAATGAGAAGGCTGACACATTGCCTCGTTCTACCCCCTTCAGGAAACAATGAGAAGGCTGGCACATCGTCCGGTGACTGGCTTTGATATCATTTGTAACGGCCTAGATCCACCGCTAGCATATATTGTCCTCTTTGGGCTTTAGGCTTCCCATCAAGGATTTAAAACGCGTCTGCTGGGGGAAGGTTTCCACACCGGTGATTTGTTATCTTCCCCAACCAAAATGTGGGACATCACAATGCTTTATAAGGGTGTGAAAACCTTCCCCTAACAGACGCATTTTAAAACCTTGAGGGGAGCTCGAAATGGAAAGCCCAACGAACACAATATCGGCTAGCGGTGGATCTGGGCCATTACAGCAAAGTTTATAAAGAACTATTTTTGTTTATAATATTTCCAAAATTTATTTTAAAAATACAAGAAAGTTAACTATTATTTCAACTCATAATTATATTGTGTGAAGAACAGAAACAAAATAGTGTGACACAGGGGAGGAGGGGCGAAGCAGGAATAACAAAACAAGAAAACAAATAAAGGAAAAGCAGAAAACACAACCAACTTTACGTTTTAAGCAAACACCCAAAGATTGGCCAATACACCAACAAAAGCAAAACCATACCAAAACCCCACCAACAAATACAACAAACAAAACAAAACAAAAAAAAAAAAAAAAAACCCCACAAACAAAAAAAGGGGTTTCAGAGCTATCATACACAGATTCTGTAAACAACTCATCATCCTCCTCATTGGGATGGAGAGAAGGGTTTTGGTGGTGTGTTCTGTTGTGGGTTTACTCGGAATTTTATCATCTGTTACTGCTTTCGTTGCTGAGGCTACAAGAATCAAGGTCATTTCTTATGATTTCCCCTTTCGTTTCCCGTTTTTTACATTGGATTTTCACTTGCATTTGGTTTTGTGTTCCTGGGTTTCTCTTGCATTTCGTGAACATTCTCTTGGATTCTGTAATTACTGAGGAAAATGGAAGGGGGAAGGTTTTTTTTCTCTTGTTCATGTCTCTACTGAACTCTAGAAGGTAATGTATCTTATTGGAATGGTTGCAGTCCTTGTTCGTGGGCGGGAGGAGGTAGGGCAGTCTAGTCTAGTTTCATTACTATAGCGTAGTGTTAGATCGTAACTAGTGGACCTCTTATCTATTCTCTTCTCGATATCGGATCTTGCCCTGTTGTCAGAGTTGTCAAATCCAGAGTTGTCTCCAAAACAGGTACTGCAACCAATGCTCTCTACCCAGATCATTACTACTGGAATGGTTGCAGTTGTTGTCGTCTGTGTCTGTGGGTGGAAGGAGGCAGAGCAGTCTAGTCTAGTTTCGTTCCTATTGCATTGTGCTAGATCGTAACTAGCGGACCTCTTATTTATTCTCTTCTTGATATTGGGTCTTGCCTTGTTGTCGAGTTGTCAAATCGAGACTTATCTCCAAAACAGCTGCGACAACCTACTCTCTCTATCCAGATGATAACTATTGGAATGGTTGCAGTCTTATTTGTGGGTGGAAGGAGGTAGTGCAGTCTAGTCTAGTCTAGTTTCGTTCCTATAGCTTAGTGCTAGATCGTAACTAGCGGACCTCATATCTATTCTCTTCTTGATATTGGGTCTTGCCTTGTTGTCGAGTTGTCAAATTGAGACTTGTCTCTAAAACTGCTGCTGCAGCCAACGCTCTCTGTCTAGAGAGTTGTCTGCTATTCGATCCCATCCTCGATCCCACCCTATGAAACTTCCCAAGGTTTTCTTTCTATCCATCCCCTTCGAGGCATAGCGCTGGCACACCACCCGGTGTCTGGCTCTAATACCATTGTAACGGTTCAAACCCACCCCTAGTAGATATTCTTCTCTTTGGGCTTTCCCTTTCGGGCTTTCCCTCAAAGCTTTTAAAACGCGTCTGTTAGGGAGAGGCTTCGTGCGAACACTACCGTGTAATCGTTGAACTGATATTTAGATGGCGTTATTATCCATTGTTCTTTTGGTATTATTTATTGTACTTGAATCCATGAAAAGGAGTAACATTGATTCCAATTTATGTAACAGGGCTCTCAGGTTCAGTTTATCTCCACATCTGAGTGTGCATATCCACGGAGTCCAGCCATGGGTCTTGGTTTAACTGCTGCAATTTCTCTGTTGATTGCACAACTAATTGTAAATGTTTCAAGTGGTTGCATTTGTTGCAAAAGAAGTCCGAACCCTTCCAATCCTAATTGGAAAATAGCACTCCTGAGCTTCGTTATTTCTTGGTAACTGCTCTCTCGACCATTCTAATTCGATTCTCATTTCATCTAACACATGTCGGACACTTCGTGTGAGATCCCACGTCGGTTAGAGAGGGGAACGAAACATTTCTTATAAAGGTATGGAAACCTCTCCCTAGTAGACTTGTTTTAAAATCTTGAGAGGAAACCTAGAAGGGAAAGCTCGAGGAGGACAATATCTGCTAGCGGTGGGTTTGGACTGTTACAAATGGTATAAGAGCTAGACACCGAGCAGTGTACTAGCGAGGATGCTGGGCTCCCAAGGAGGCTGGATTGTGAGATCCCACATCGGTTGGAGACGGGAACAAAACATTCCTGAGAAGGGTGTGGAAACCTCTCCCTAGCAAATGTGTTCTAAAACCTTGAGGAGGGTGTGGAAACCTCTCCCTAGCAAATGTGTTCTAAAACCTTGAGGAGGGTGTGGAAACCTCTCCCTAGCAAATGTGTTCTAAAACCTTGAGGGAAAGCCTGGGAGGGAAAGCCCAAAGAGACAATATCTGTTAGCAGTGGGTTTGGGATTTTGGGATGTTACAAATGGTATCAGAGCCAAACACCGAGCAATGTGCCTGGGAGGACGCTAGACTCCCAAGGAGGGTGGATTGTGAGATCCCACATCGGTTGGAGAGGGGAACAAGACATTCCTTATAAGGGTGTGGAAACCTCTCCCTAACAAACACATTTTAAAGCCTTGAGGGGAAGCCTAGAAAGGAAAGCTCAAAGAGGACAATATCCGTTAGCGGTGGGCTTGAGTTGTTACACTTCTGACACATTTTGGACACTTGTTAGTGCAATAGATATGTTAGACACTAGTTGTGTGTGTATGTATATACACATCGTCTCTTCCATTCGTGGTCACCCTTGTTCGGTTATCGCTGTTGACGCCTCCACAAGTTCTCTGCGAATTCACTTGCAAATCCTACACATTTTGGGGAATTTAAGATCATAATCTTGTACGTTTTACACCATAACTCTATGTCTTGACGTCACATTCCATGCTGCATTCTCAGGTTCAGTTTTGTTATAGCCTTCTTGTTGTTGCTGACCGGTGCTGCCCTTAACGACCAGCACGGTGGCGGGACTATGTACTTCGGTAACTACTACTATTACTGCTATGTCGTCAAACCCGGAGTCTTTGCTGGAGGCGCCGTTCTGTCGTTTGCAAGTGTTCTATTGGCAATAGTCTATTACCTCACTTTAAATTTGGCAAAAAACAATAGCCCTTTGTTGGGGAACCCTGTTCCAGCTCAAGACATTGCTTTGGGGCAGCCTCAGTTTCCACTACAAAATACTCAGCAACCTGTTTTTGTTCACGAAGATACGTATGCACGCCGACAGTACGTGTGATTCATAGTCGGTCTCCGAGCATACTTTTGTGAGCTGAGTAAGCTTAGAGAACGAACTTTAGAAAGATATGGAAATTTGATGTTCCTCAGCATTTGGCTGTGTTTGTTTTGGTTTTGTTCCTGTATCGAAATCGATTAGCTTAGAGATACTGTATAGTAAGATTATCGAACAAAACATGTAGTCTTTATGTGAAAAGGAATGCCTTTGAATCGATTAGCTACTCCCTTCATCTTTGTCAATTAACGTGGCACTCGTTCTTCAACGTCGGTCTATCATCTCTCCCTCCCCAGAAAGGGAGGGCGAGTATTCTTACCGGTGATTTTTCCTCTTAAATTTAATACTGGGGTAATTCAAATCTCAATCCTCTTGATAGATGGTATATACCTATTTCAATAACAGTACATCTCTTGTCCATCTGTCCGTACAACTCTTTTGTATAAATTTGTGTGCTCTCTACATTTTCTCCTTGATTTTTTTCATCTGCATCTCCGTTAATCGACTGTCGAGAATTCAAATGCCTAATTCAGATTCCTCGAAGTTCAATAACATTCATAAGCTTGTAAACGAACCGATTCATTGTCTTTTTTCTTTGTAGCAGTTCGTTCGCCTAGGCAGAAGAAACAGCAGCCCTGTCAGACCATTAATCGTGAAACATATATAGATGAAGAGAGGTAGAGAGAGTACCTAAAAGACTCTAAAAAAACCATCTTGGTCTTGTTTCCTCTTCCTCTTCTGTCAAATCGCGGTACTGATACCATTCCGATCCAGCTTTACCAACGGGCATGGGAGGTCGAACGAAAATCTCCACTGGCTTGGGGACATGTACAGCCAACTTGAGTTCATCGACGGATGATTCTAAATCTGAGTGATTATTTTGGAGCGACTTCTTTCGTTCAAAAGTGATCCATCCCAAGCCTGATATAGCCACATCACAAGCAGGCCTGTAGAAAATGCAAAGAGAAATAAGTTCTTATTTCCTGAGATGCACCTATTAGCCAGCCAGATTACATCAACCACAACACATCCGGAATAACATTGGAGAGGAAAAAGGATATTTTACTTAAAGATTTAACATCTCAACCCCACCGCTAGCAAATATTGTCATTTTCGGGCTTTTTCTTTTGAGCTTCCCCTCGAAGTTTTAAAAACGTTGTCTGCTAGATAAAGTTTTCACACCTTTATAAAGAATGTTTCGTTCTCCTCCCCAACCAATGTGGGATCTCACAATCCACCCCCTTCGGGGCCCAACGTCTTTGTTGGCACACTGTCTCGTGTTCACCCTCCTTCCTATCAGGGGTCCCACATCAATTGGAGAATGGAGCGAGTGCCAGCGAGGGCACTGGACCCCGAAGGGGGATAGATCGTGAGATCCCACATCGATTGGGGAGGAGAACGCAACATTTTTTTTAAAGGTGTGGAAACCTCTCCTTAGTAGACGCGTTTTAAAAACCTTGAGGGAAAGCTCGAAAGGGAAAGCACAAAGAGGACAATATCTGCTAGCGGTAGGTTTGGGCTGTTACAACCCTACATAACTTGTCAGTCAGCAAGAGTTGCATCGCACCTTTGCTCGTCCTCAAAATTTATCTTCAATTGACGCATTACTTCGAGCCCTCTCCAGTCATCCCTTGCTTGTTTTCCAGATGGAGGTGTTAGTGAAATTCCTAGTTCTTTCTGTCAATTTGTAAGAGAAATCATCCAGTTACCAACTTTAAAATTTAAAGTCCTATTACATATAAAAACAAAAATCAATCAACTTCTACATTTCGAGACCTATTAGACACAAACTTGAAAATTCAAAATCGAACCGATAAGTATTCATCTGATACATAATCTTGTCGATTACTACCTGACATGAGAGTTTAGAAAAACTAATCTATGTTCTTTCTAATTCCAGACAGCATTTTAATTACCTCATAAAATTCATCTGCTTTTTCAGTGGGCACCACGTGGATCTGCAATCCTTTTGGACCATAAAATGTCAAACATGTTTCTGGTTGAACCTGTTAACATAAATGAAATGCTAAATTAAAAAAAAAAAAAAAAAAAAAAAAAAAAAA